GGGGTGAAAAGCGCCGTATCCTCTTTCCATTCCTTACAGCACCCGGCCCTTTCTTTAAGGGCTTAAACCCAGGGAGTGGTGGGGCAGGGCGGGGGGGAGAGGGTCTCTGAGAATTAGTGCAGAGAAAGATGATGACTATTTTAAGGCCGGTGCCGAGGGGGTGGAAAAAGGCAGAGCTTATGCCTGTGCTGCTTCAGCTGCATTGAAGAGGACTTAGCACAGATGGATTGTGCATTACAAAATGTAACACATAATTCAAGCTGTCAGCTTAATCAGACTGTTTCCAGGAAGCAACCTGTAAAAGAGAAGGACCTCTTGTTTGCTGACCTCTGATCCGTAGCCTGCTGCAGATTGTCATACATTTTGTTTTTCTTTATGTTGGTGTCCCTTCCTTCCCCTTCCCTTTTTATTATTGTATCCCTCTCGAGTGGCACCCTGGAAGGACCACCCAGCGGGAGGAAAACAATGGGAAACGAGCCGGCCGCTAAAATACAGGGTTTGTAAGACTCGGGGAAAAGAAAAAGCACTGTTTAACTGCATATGTGATCTCCCTGGTATTGTTTTGCTTATTAAATGTCTAGGAAACTCGACTAAATGCACGGCAGCTCCCACTTAATTGTTCGCTGTTGCCCAACAGTCCAATGGAAAACACAACTTTCAGTACAGCTTAACAGAATTGCAAAAATGATGGAAGCTTTCGTGTGCAAAGCTTTTCACTTGAGGGACGGTAAACCAAGGTTAACTGTATGAATATGTCAGCTTCTGCATACAGCAAAAACAAACAAAAAAAGAATCTTTATTTTGCCTGTGGGGCTCTGCAGGCAGAAGCCCAGCTGGGGCATTGCTGGTGGAGACCTGGCCTGGAAAGTCCCCAACAAAGCAGGCAGCCGGCCTGGACCTGAATAGCCATTTACACCTCTGTTCAAGGATTAGCCTGCTGTATTGTTTCAATGTTTAAGTCCTAATTTGCATCATTATAGAGGTGCAGCTTCATCAAAACCCCTCTGAGGTCCCAGTTATGTCCCCATACCTGTAGGTGGTCACCAGATTTATTTCGATTGTGGAGGTGAAGGAATTAAACTACTCGGGGCAGGGTAATTTCAATGCAGCGTCTCAGACCCTGGCTGATTTTTGGATGATTGGTTTGTTCATGTGCTTTTTTTTTTCTTTCTACAGAGCTCAAGCAACGTGGTTTTTGCTGTTGTTTGTTTTGAAAAGCTAAAATGAGGGTGTCTTATTTTTCCAACCGGTGCGATAGGAATGCATTTTAAAATACCTGTTGCAACTCGGATCACTTCAAGCCCTGTTTGCTGTCTGTCTGCAGGCACCATGGGATGCTGGTGGGACTTCCCCATGCGCTGCAGTTGATAGAAGACGTGGTGGTGAGGATGAGCCCCCAGCACCGAGCGTTGTACCAGGGAGAGCACAAGGGGATGATGGGGACGACGGAGCTGCTCAGGTTAATGCCGCTTCACTGCGAGCTGCATCCCCTCTCCGCTGCCCTCGCAGAGCAGGCAGGAACCAGAGAGGCAGGCAGTGCTGCCTACGCCTTAACCCCATCCTCTGTATTCTTGTTTGCTTGCTGCTGTACATCCAGCATAATGGTTGTAATTTTGTTGTTGATTGCTTACATGCTTCTAATTGAATTCAGGTGAGCAACAGCGAGAGGCTGTTACCGAGCAGCTTTGCAGGAGCCTGTTGAGATTTGAGCCTTGGGTCCTCGCTCTTGCGGTGACAAATGGCCGGTGCAAAGAGCAAGCGGGCTCCTGCAAACAAACGTTGTCGGTTGCTAAGAGGCCTCCCTCCCCTTCCACTGTTTTAATGTCATCAGAGAGCTGAAATATGGCACTTAGAAGCACATACACAAATTACTCCACCAAATACTTTTTCTTAAACGTAGCATTTTTTGCAGCCTTGCTCCACAGATCCCTTAGGTCAAGTAAATACTTATTTCGAAGAATGAGAGCATTCCCTTAGCTAGTAATGCTAATATGATTTACTGAGGTAGATAACAATAACCAGAAAAATAATTTCTTCCTCAAGGTAAAAGAGCAAAGAGAATCACTAAAATCCACGTGTTAACAAGACTGGGGTCAGAGAGCTGTCACTGTCCCATCACAGCACGGGCTCTTAATTACAAGAACTGGGAATGGCTTTGTAATTTTATTTAAAATTATATGCCAGCCTCCATAAACTAGGATTCTTGTAAGCACTTGATGGTTAGAGGATTTCTAGGGAATTAAAAGGAATGGTTGCCAAACTGACCTGGCCCCTTGAGCCTCCCATTGGAGATGGGTTCCTGCGACATAACTGCTTTGACCACGGCATGGCTAGGGCTGCCTGGTCAAGAAGTGGTTTCACCGAGTGGACATGCATGGGTTCCTCTCTCCCTGTCCAAAAGCAAAGGTGAGATCAAACCTGGCATTTTCAAAGTGCTGGGTTTGACCTCCCTGTTCTGTGCTTTCGCAGAGAACATCAGGGATGTTTGTCCCTCTGGGCTGTCCCACCAGTTATCCCATTAGCCAGGAGAAGCGTTACAGATTCTGCCTCAAACCGATGCTGCCTGTCTGAGCTTTAAATAAACATTGCATGTAATACCTGCTTTATTTTGTAGCCTTTGTAATCGGGCCGGCAGTCTGAAAGAAGACGACCTTGAAGCATGTGAAGCAGTCGTCCTTCATCAGCTTCGGGTTTTATTACAGAACACGCTGAATGGATGTCTCCTACCTGAGAAAACACTCGATGCTAAAGGTAGAGCAGTGGATGAAAAGCAAACCAGGTATCGCAGACACAAACTTGCATGTGGGTGTGATTAACATTCTTCTCTTTCCTACCCAAGTCTGCTCTGCCTCGCTGGTGCGGAGAAAGCAGACCCGAGGCCAGACCTCCGATCGCACTGGAAAATAAAGACGTCTGAGTGCTGATCTTTACGCATCTTGGCAGCAGCTGTGTGACTCGAAATGAGAACATGAAGCAAATTAATTTATTTTCCTTTTCATTCACTGATGGTGAATCTTACTCTGCTGGGTAGCACTTGGGCTGGGTCCCCCCATCTCACCCAGTCCACAGCATCTGCTGCCCCAAGCTGCTCCGACAGGGAGGGAAACTTATTAACTTCAGAGACCTCTCAGCCAGTAATTTCTGTGATCTTCAACACGAGTCTCAGGCACGTAAGGATGGGGAATGTAATTTTAAGAAGCAAATTATTTCTCTGTGAAGCAGAAGATGCACATAGCCTTTAAAAACAATAAACTGCAGTTATTCAAAATGTTTTTTTTCTTTTCTGTGCGTATGCCACAAGGACAAGTGAGAAGTGATTATTTTTTTTTTCTAGGCTTTTTAATACAGTAATGAAAACAATTTCCATTCTTTTTTTACTTAGCTTCTGTCTAGACCTTCCTCCCTGTTACAGGCTCAGCAGTGCTCAAGTGTTTGCAGGATCGGGGCACTTGTGAGCGCTGAAGAATGGTCTATTTAACTATACCTGGTTCTCCTTTCGAGGCTGATATGCCTGCAAGCACTAATATGTCGTTGTATTTCCTGAATGGTTTCTGAGGGACAAACACTTGTGGAGTTAATTGGAATTCAGTCCTCTGTTTGTGAAACTTCATTGGAGCAACTGGAAAAACAAACATCTTTGGCAAACAAGATTGCAGTATTTATATTTTCTGTGTTAAAAGAAAAGGCACTTTTGCTCAAAAATAATAAAAAGAATTCTGGAGGGGGGGAGAAAAACACAAAGACAAGCCTGGGGAAGTGGGTGCCCAGCAGAGTGCCTGATGGAGTAAGTGAGGTCTGCCCAAGGCTGAGACTAGGGGCTGCAGAAGAGGTTTAATGTCTCCTGATCCCGAGTCTCAGGACGGACCAGGGGACAGATATGTTGATGATTCCCCCTGCCTGTCCTCCCTACATTTGCAGAAGTCACAAGTGACTTCTTGTGTTTTCCACTTTGAAACATTTTTAAAAGAAAAAGTGGGAATTAAGGACAAAAATGTGTGACTTTTCCCCACTGCATGTTGACCTGCTTGTTCAGATAAATGAGTAGCATGGCACCTGTGTGAATCTCATGTACGTGGTGTGTCCCACTAATGGCGCTTGGGTTTGTTTCTCAGGCCAGACCAGCCGTGGGACTTGGGCATGCTGCAGACTTGCTTGAGCAACCATGCCTTGTTCTTGAAAAAGCACCAGGTTCAGCTCCCGGAAGAAGTGGCGGAGATGTTTGAAAGCCTACTGGTTTCCATCAATGAGGCGCAGGACGGTCAGGTGGGCACTTGCATCTAATAATATCTAAATCAATGATACCTAGAGACTAATTTGCACCTTTAAGGCAAGATAGGCCCTGTGCCACTAACAGGATCCAGTGGGGGCTTTAAGACAAGCAGTCTGCATTCATTAATCAGCCTTGGAGATGGGTAAGGAGAGAATACAAGTTCTTCAGTTGTCTCTGGGCAAACAGACACAGCAATTCATCCCTTGAAGAAAACAGTCTCTTTAAGGTATCCAGGAGGGCATCTGTTTTCCACCCTTCAAACTAGTTCTTTATTTAAACAAGCTCACATATTTGCTGCAGTGTGAATTTATCACAAGGCTTCCATCATTTGTCTTTCTCTGTGGCTTAGTAGCTTTTTATCATAAATGATGCATTTTAGTTTATTTTTTCTTAAACAGAGTTACGTTTGGTACACTCAATACACAGAACATTTTAGAAATGGTAGCATGCTCATTTTTTTTAAATGTTAACGCAAAAGGTTATAAACTAATGCTCTCCTGAAAAAAAAAAAAATGAAACATTGGCATTCAATAGGCCTGTGAGTGCCCTGACCTCTTTTGCTGCAAACCCAAGGTGGTCAGTTGTGTGGGGAGGGCAGGGCTCTGATCCCTGCAGCCTCCAGCACTGGGGCTGCAGCCGTGCTGGAAGAGCTGGGACTCTGGCACTGGGGTGACATCCCAGCTGCTTCTGCATCGCCCCTGCAGTGGGAACCAGGAGATCTGCCAAGCAGCCTGCTGGTGACGAGTTAGACCCGTGCTTGCTCCAAGAAAATCTTTGCAAAAAATATTTTTCCTCTAACTTTTAACAAGGAATTCAAAAGCAGTTTGAACTGCTTCGCTATATTCTAGTTTTAATAGCATTTGAAACAAATAATGAAGATGTAATATTTTAGTCGGTTGTACACTTTTGATTATAGCCAGGGTAACTTCTTTTTCTGTATGTGGATAAGTAATTTGTATTCTGTCCTTAAAACATTCAGTCAAGTAGAAGAGATGAGCAAGGAATGTATCATTGCACTGGTGACAGATAAACAAATACCGTACATAAATTTATAATTGCATGTAAAAACTTGTACAAAGTCAAAGCTCAATAACACAGCTTTATGGGTGAATATATGCAGTAATAATCTGTTTATTGCTACATGTTACTGTGGCCCACATATATGCATTTAATATTTATATTACCTATTAAGTGGATCCAGTCAATGAAATGCAATGCCAGGATGCATCTCTACTTTGAAACACCTTATCTCCAAGCAAGTTGCACGGAACAGGATCAATATAAATGTACAACATGCATGTACAGAAACAGTTGCTTTACCATAGAGATGTATATAATGTAGTAGTGAACTCATAAGGGATTTGCACCTAAGGATTTTTAAACATTTATGACTCTGAAGTTTGAATTTTTGGCCCATATTGACGACTTCTTTCTCTGAGGGCTTAAAGATCTGTCAGGAACCCCACATGACGACGGTATCGCACAACCAGGCAGCAGGGTGAAGGTGCAGGAGAGGGGGCTTTGGGCTCCTGACTCTAAAAACAGACCTGTCAAGTCTGTCAGCTCCATCCTCATCAGCAGTTGTAGTCCACGAAGGTTTGGTGATGACCAGCAGCAAGTCCACCTTTTCCTCTAGTGCATTCAGCATCTCACCCATTCCAGTGGTCCACAGAGTGTGTCTGTCCACCTGCCTGTCTTTTCCTCCTCCCTTGTCACTAATTTGTGTCTGTCTTCTATTCTCTTACGTCTTAGTATCAGGTTTTTTTCTTCTTTCACGGGTCTCTCCCATTACCCCTGTTAAGAAAACTGGGTATTGGTCCTGGGACTGGGACATGGGACAGCCATAGGGAGCTGATGTGGTCAGAACACCTTTTCTGGGCAGTGGGATAGTCTCTTGGCTGTGAAAGCTGGGGACTTGAGTGCCTTTTTCAACTGAGTTACACTCCTGTAAGAACAAGACCCACGTGGCTCGTGCAGCATGTTAGATGTCTTCATGCTCTGATGGAGATGTTGGCCACCCTGGAGTTACCTTGGTCCCTGTGATGCTGAATGCTGAGCTTTGGTTCTCCTGGTGGGACCCTTCCTTCTGCCTGGATTAATTGCGGTGTCAGAGTTTACATTGCTTGTATTTGGTGGTGGTGATTCCTGCCTGTTTGGATGTTAAATAACTGCAAATGGGTAAGTGAAGTATTTCTGGTGTGAGAAATCCATGCTGAGATCAACTGCTACATGGGAATGAATTTCTTTCAATAGTAAAGATTTCCCAACCTGCCTTAAATTAAAGGCATTCTTTACATTAAGAAAATGAGGCTTAAAATCCCTGTTTTTTTGGATGAAGTAGCAGCTTGCTTGCATAGGTTTTCTATGGAGACTTCCCATATGTAGATTTAATGGAAAGAAAAAAAAATTGGCAAGCTATGTGCTTAAGACTGAGAAGTTGCCGTTCTGGGCTCTTGAATAAATATGGATTAATGAGGAGGGGGCAGATGCAGGAAAATAAAATTTTCTCATGAGTCCAAAATGTTTTGGCTTGAAGCTGTTCCGTGTTCTTAGGTCAGTACGTATAAAATAAGTTACAAAACCTGGAGTTCTCTCCGAGATGTTGGTCCTCATTGCTGGAGGCGTGTTGTTTTATTAAGCAATTAGATAATTAGAGCAGAAAATCTAGGGGGTTTTAAAAGCTCAAGTCCGTATTTTGTGTTACAAAATAAAACCCTGCAAGTAAAGAAGAGGTAGGAAGGATGCCCAAAGAGCCTTTGCTGCTCTTTGTGAAATAATAAACACCAGGAAGGATGATTTCTCTGGCTCTCAGGGCTTTATAAAGCCACATGCAGTACTTTTAACACAGGTGGATGATAACCTCAGAAGTGTTTATTTTAAGCCTGCTTTTAACTCAGCCATATTTATGGTACGTTCAGCTCCCTATAAAGGTACCCTATAAATTCCACCTTAATTTTTTTGTGTTAAAAATACATTTAACTGCAGAGGGCTGCATACACAGGCAGGAGAGAATGAACTTGACAAATGTGCAGGAATAACACGGATTAAAATCAGAACCGTGCCCAGCTGAGGCTACCTTGGGCAAGCTATGCATTGCCGAGAAGCCTTCAGGTTCGTCCGTCTCGGTGGTGTTTTTAAGCTGCAGCTATTGCTAATGCTGTGGGTTAACTTGCCTTATTGCTGCGTGCCTGAAATGGAGAGATTTCTTTTCAGTCTGTTGCTGTTGCAGTGTATTTGATACACCCTTTCTGTTTTGCTTACCCTGAATGCGTGAGGCAGGCAATACTGAGAATTTTCAGAAAAACCTAGTGATTAAAAGAATAATTCAAAGTTTGTGTTCCTTCAAGGCAGAATGCAATTCCTGAGCTAGCGCTGATTTAACTCGGAGGTAATTTAACATCTAACAAAAGCACCCTGGAAGCAGATTACACCGTGAAGTATAGATTAGCCTAAATGTATGTTGGAAAACGCTCGAGACAAAGGATAATAGAGCTGCAGCTATTTTTTTTTTTAATGCTGCAGGCTCTACTGGTGTTGAGAGAGGTCCTTCCAGAAGAGTGTGGGGATCGGTCATCTATTCAGAGTAATGAATCATCTTACAGCTTGCCATCAATCCCAAATGATGGTGGGGAAATAAAGCTGGCAAAACACACTCCCCGGCTCGCCGGCGCGGGAGAACAAGGTAACAAGTGTTAAAAGGTCCAGCTGTGTGCTCAAAGTTATTGTCCTTCTCTGTATCTGTCTATTTTCTACCCAAATCTGCAGGGGACTGTATTATAGCGACTGGCAAATTAATGTATATTTGTAATGAACTTCGGGGGATTTTCCTAAGTATCTCAGTATCGTTTGTCATTCTTGTTATCTCTTAAAATGACTGATGCCTATTACGACTTTTTTTTTTCTGCAGGAGTAGAAAAGCAAGCCTTGTGGCAGTTATTAGAAACAGGTCTATAGGTGTGCACGTATTTAAAAAATGTCTACTGTTTAGAAATTTGTTGCCTTTATAATAAAGGGATCTATTTGTTGCCTTTTATTATAAAGCCAGACTGCAGAATAAATTTTCAAAAATAAAAGGGTTCATGCTGAGAAAGGTGTGTGGTGCCATTTCAGAGCTCAGAAAGGTGAACGTGTTTGTGAAAACCCAGTTAATTTCTTTAGATAAGGAAGTAATATATTAGTCCGGCATAATAACCGGCAGCGGCAACTTGCTCGGTCTGCTCTCTGAGCATCCCTTACATCAAAGTCCAGAAAAGAGACAGGCAATTAGGTTGCAATGCTCTTTACACAGCAAATGTAAACAAACTGCTTTAGGCCTCCTAAATTCACGCGACTTTTATCCGTGGAGGAGACGGAGACTTTGATTTAAACTAATTTTCCGCAGTCGGTATGATATACGCTGCTGCTGTCGGGCTGCCGGACGAGATCGCAGAGTTACTGTGGGTTGTTTGTTTCCTAAATCCCATTGGGTCTTAAATTATTTAAGACATTTGGTTAGCTTGTCCTTTTCTCTGGAAGCTACAGAGAGGCCGGGTAGCCTCGTATGCGAGGAAAGTTCACAGTAGGTGCCTCTTTTAAGAATGGTAATGGATAGTTTAGATCAATAAACAAGAGATAACAAAAGTGAGAAATTAAAGGGAGTAGGGCTTAAAAGCAAACAAACCAGTCTGATCACTGTGACTTTGAAACGTGTTTCATTATGGTGTGTTCACATCCAGAAGTCACAAGCTGGTGTGAAGATGAGAGCAAGGAAGAAAGCACGGTCGAAAAGATTCCTATTACAGGTAAAAGTAATGGCTGCATATTAACCTCAAATCCAGTATTCAACTTTATTATATAATCAAAACATGGCATTTTACTGGTCTGGGTCCACTAATAGTGAGCAAATTCAACTACTACATACTGAGCGCAAAGATTAAATGTAAGATCATAAAGTCCGTGCTTATGTTAACGTAAACCAAGATGGAAAATAACAGTGCCTATTTAATTCCTTGTAATCATGTTATACATTTAAACCATGTGAATATCCTGTCATTTAGCCTTTCAGGTCCCAGTATCAGTGTTACAAAGGTCAGTCTCCATGGGGAAGATCCAGTAATTATATGGCAAACTACAGATGTTTCTGATTTGATTCTTTTCTTTTCTCGAGTAATTGAATGTGTATCATTAGAATAAGCGCAGGGAAAAACCCTGCTAGCCAGGAAGCCGTGCCTTTGCCTCTGTTACAAAAGCTGCCTGATAACATAAATTTTTTAGCAATAAGGTTTTATCAAGACGTGTTCAGATCCTCCCATGGCAGATGTATAAGGCTTGCTTAGGATCCCAAGGTGTCGCTGCTTTTTTTGGTCCTGGGGTATCAATAACACATTAGTATTCAGGGCAGGGCTCTTTGCAATGAGTCTCAATTTGCTTTTGCCTGATTTTTGTAAAGTAGTAGGCTGCTTCCTTATAAATTTTGATGTTTGGCTAAATATTTATTTATGCAGGTGTGTACTCCAACAGAAAGGTGCGAGGGCATCTGCTTATGCAATGCTTGCTGTTGCTTTTCTGCTCTTTTACAGCTTCAAAATAGCCTGTCTTTCAGAGAGCAATTCATTTCTCTATAGAGGTTTTCCTCTGCTGCTTTTTGAGCCTAATTTGCAGCTGAAATATAAAAATGTGCTTCTTGCGGTCCTGAATTGTACTGCAGCAATAATATTCCTATGTTAGCCCAATAAAACTTAGATTTTATTTTTTTTTCTAGAGAGCAGAATGCTTTCCATTTTCCTGCTTCTTAAAATGTCCTTCAGTCACACATGGCAACGTATTTTTAAAACATGAATTGCATTGGTTTGGGTTTTTTTCAGAAGAATTAAAAGCCACTTACGTCTTTTTCATGAAACAAAACACACTTCTCATTTGAAAATTAATCTAAAATTTTGCAAATCTTGGGATTGGTTCTATTTTGTTTGTGATTTAAGAGGATTCAGATTCAAGGATTGGGGTTTAAGTTCCTTAAACTGCAGAGAGTGCCAGCAAGAACAGTGTCAGGAATGATAACTCCATCCAACTAATGCCATCACTTAAACTTTTTTTTTTAAGGAGAATACTGGCCCTTTGAGTTTGGATCTCCATAGCTGCTGATGGTTTTGGTTTGCTTCTCCCCGCCTTGAATTTTGTGACTTACCAATACTGGTTTTAGCTCTGATTTTGCATACAAATTTGTCAGGGAATTCTCTATTGTAGTTTTTCCTGCTGGGGACCCCAACGGTCTGTGCAGCTGGTCCCTGTGTTAGATGTCAGTCAAAAGCCAAGCCACGATGGACATCCCCCTTCCCTGCTTCTCCCATAGCTTTCTTACTGAAGGGGTGTGCAAATATTAATACTTTCTATTTGTAAAAAATGCTAAGAAACTCTCCCTAGCCTAAATGCTGAAACCAGTAACTTCAGTTTAAAATCCATTCTTTCCAAGTCTGCTTTATTTACTGTTTAGTTGCAGCGTGTTTCCAGTAGCTAGCAGTCGTGTTCTCTCTAGGAGCGAGGCTTTTCATATCTCACTTGAAAGCAAAGTTGCTCCTTTCAGACATGATTCATCTTCAGCCCATGATCTTCTCTGGGCTTCTTGTTCTCTTCTGGCTCCTCGCCCTTCCAGCCTGGTGCTTTTTTCCTTTTTGCTCGTCATTATTTGCTGTAGACTCTGGCCCTGGAGCTCTGAAATTTTTCTGCACCTAAAATAGAGGCAGCATCTCTGTACATTGGCTTTTGGGCTCAAAGGACTCATTTGAGGGTTTGGCTTTGTGTTTTTAGATGAACTGGTATTTAACGTTCATTCTATATGCGGTCATTTTGCGGTACAGCTTTGTCTAAGCTTAAAGGATACCAATTTTGTTTTTTTCAGTACTTGCTGCATTCTTTAAGGCCTTTAAGTGTTGTGGTTTGAAACATGGGAAGCCTTGGGGCTTTTGGGTGTTGATGAACTTCATTGTGAGAGCTGGGTAGATGTGCTTCCAAGCAGTCTGATCTGATGGCACTTTATGAATGCTTCTGTAGTTCTGGTTTATTTTTCTTCTGTTACAGGAGAAAAAAAAGCACCGAAATATTTATTTATTTGAATATTCTGTAAATATTCCAGAAATATTTATATTTTTTTCTTTACTGCCTGTAGGGGAGGAAGGAGATAGCTGGGGAAAAGGGCTTTAGAGTCGTAGCTGGCATGGTGTCGGATGTCCCTTAGAGACGGCCCGTGTCGGTACCTGAAACTGCTCCTGCAAGGACTGACTTCACCCAGAGCTCTTCTAAACAGAGGCCTAGACTGAAATATCCACCAAGCTCTTCCCATCTGTGACAGGACGTGAGGTTTTCAAACCTGCAGTCAGCTCGGGGCGCAGGGGCAATGTACCTTGTAGCATAAAGATGGTTTCTTTCCTAAAGCCTTCTCCTAAGCTTGTGGAAAGGCCATGTTGTGATAATTGACTTGAAAAGGATTCTATTTTTTGTACGGTCTCACCCAGAGAGGAGTCAGCTCTTAATAGCAGTCTCATTTTATAGCAGGTTATATGAGGATAGAGGAGGATACGTGGACTCATTCTCATTTTCTTCGCGGCTGCTTTGGTTTTTATCGTGGGAAGACATGTAAAAGAAATTGTTGAGGTTTTTTTGCTGTTCCTGAGGTAGAATAATGTGAGATTAAAAAGAAAGGATAAAATCCATTATTTCTTGTTTTGCTGGATGACTGTTTAAGAGTCTCATTTATGAGAAGGAAACTGATTTTATTGAAGGGGCAGGTTTGTTCAATCTTTAACAAAACCAGATTCTCTCTCTCCTCTTCATTTATGTCTTTGATTTAAATAGATGTTAAAGCTATAAAGGATTTGAATAAAAATGGCGTTACTTCGCCACTCATCAGGCTTCACTTTCACAACATCTTGAATGTCACCTTCCAGCTACTCTCCAGGTATAAAATCTCTAATGCAGAAATAAGGAGGAAAAA